GGGCTGCGGCCGAGGGCTGGGGTCGGGAGGAGCGGAGGGCCGGGCCGGGGAAGGCCGGAGCAGGCGGCTTCTCAGGGGGCGGGTCGCCGAGTATTCGGCTCACCCTGATCCTCACCGGTGGGGGCGGACCGGGCCTCGCGCTTCTGCGCCCTCGCTCCTTCCCTTCCCCCTTCCCGCCCGCGGAGTCGGGAACCCCAGCCCCGAGTCCGGTCCCCTGGCGGTGGACCTTTCTCTCCTCGCCTCACACTCAGCTCGGCTGGCTGGACAGAGCTGGTCCTGCAGTGGCCGGCAACGTGTCAGTCGCAGGGTCGCCGAGGTCTCTGGGGTGACAGATGAGCTCTGACCCCGTGGCGGAAGCGCGGTTCTCTTTCCCCGGGCTGCGTTTGAAAATCCCAGGGAAAGTGTTGCTCATAGCGTTGTAGATGTCTCGCTTGGCGTTTCCGCTTACCTGCTGGAGGAGGTAGAGCAAGATGTAGATGATAGGGTATGGCGGAGAAGGGAGCGGGAAGGGGCGTGGTGGTCAGGGGATGGCTTTTCATCTCGTTCTTGGAGGGAACTACCTGGTCACCTTGAGCATCAGGTAACACCTGTCTCCCTGCTAGAGTGCAAATGAAGGTGCGCATTCTTTAACTGATCTTCCTCCAAATGAAGATGCGTTATTGGACTTGTTTAAATCCCTCCTCAGTTTTGGGAGTATATTTCCAGCTCCACCCCGAGCATCCAAGCATTTTCCTGTCTCCCAGAAGCCCCGTCAGTTTGGTTCCTCTGCTTCCTTTATAGTTGTAACTGGTAGAAAGGACTTTGTCAAGTCACGCCCATTCTATTTCCTTTCCTAAGGTCATCTCTAGCCCATGGTATGTAGGTATGTTCATTTTTCCAGGATCGCGGCCTTTTTTTTTTCTTCCTAAACTCATGATACCGTGAGTACATGAAAGAGAGAGAACCAACCTCCTGAAGGGACTAGTTAAACTGCCATTCCATTTTTCCAGCCCTCTGGCCCATAGGATCTTGGGCATTGGGGTGTGTCTGTTTTTCAGACTGACCAGGCCCAGGGTTTGGCCCACCTTGTGTGAAATCCAGCTTCTCTTGAGCAGTGCATTATGGGTGGGCCAAAGAGCTGGCCTCAGACTTGCAGCTCTTAATTGTGCCATTTCTTTGTCAAATAACAAAGCGTTGCATGATTTCTTTTTTTCTTTTCTTTCTTTCTTTTTTTTTAAGAGAGATTTCTGCTATAAAGTGCATGTGCTTGCTGGAGAGACAGAGACAGAAAGGGAGAAATCACCCCCCAGAGGGGCTGGCCATACCACAATCCCTTCTTTGTTCTCTTGGGATCTTGGGCACACTCGCACATGTGCCCAGTGTGAGTTCTAAGCTGCCAGATCTGTGCCTCAAACCATGGTCAACTACGTGGGAGTTCAGTGATGTAACCATTACACCGTCTGCTGGTCCTGCATCACTTCTGTTGTCAACTGTTTTTTGTTTTGTTTTGTTTTTACATATATACACATATATATTTAATATTCACTTATGTGAGAGAGAGCACACATGTGACTTACAGATAGGCAGAGACATAGGCACTTGTAACAGGGTCTTTACACTCTGATCACAGGCTGATGTGTGAGCACCTGGTGTAAACAGGGAGGCCAGTATATACAGAGAGGTCTTGAGATACTAACACACATATTCCCACTTGGGATTTTGTTGCGCAAAGCATTTCTTTTCACCACTGTACCACCTGGCCCCCGGTCCCCTCGCTAGGGCCCCCTCCTCCCTTTTTTTTTTAGATTTTTGTTACGGGGTGTGTGTGCTCATCAGAAAGAGCCTGAGAGAGGGAAAATGAGAGATCACCCCCCGGGGGATGACCACACCACAATTCCTTCTCCTCCATTCTCCTCTTGAGATTTTGGGCACACGCACTTGCGCCTAGTGTCATTTTCAAGCTGCTGGATCTGGGACTCGAACCCACACACAGTTGACCATGTGGGAATCCAGCACCTTAACTACCATACCATCTGTTGGCCCCTGACCTCTGTTTTTATTTCTAATATAACTGTCTTGTCTCTAATGACTTTTTTTTTTTTTGAGAGGTTTTCACTGTAGGGCGCGTATGCTCGCCAGACAGAGACATAGAGACAGAAAGCGAGAAATCACTCCCCGGGGGGATGGTCACGCCGCAATCCCTTCTCCTCCATTCTCCTCCTGGGATCTTGGGCATGCATGCATGCACACGCGCCCGGCGTGGGTCCGGGACGTGAACCGCGGTCGACTATGTGGGAGTCCAGCGACAAAGCCATTACGTTAACTGCTGGTTTCCAGTCTCTAATGACTTTTGATGAGAAAGGGACTGTGCCACCAGTACTTTATATTTCACAATTTCTACTGCAGGGGAAACTTTCTGGAAACATTTTATGATAATTTGGATGTAGCCTTATTTTTTATAATGTTTTACATAAAAAGTAGTTTTTGTTTTCTGCTTCTGTCTCAATTTCTTGTGCTAGTTAGATTTTTTAGTGATGAATTCTCAGGGATTGAAGGTAGCTGATGGTGGTACTGCTGCTGTGGAGCAATAATTGCTCTTCGTGTGTGAAGACCTCTCTCTCCCACTGCCCTTCTGACCGGTTCTCTGATTTTTAGGGATAGTGACAAGATCATGCTAAAGGATCCCTATTCTGTTAATTAGAAAGTGACCTTCATAAGTGTAGTGGCCATATTTCTCTTATGTTTTAGTGTATTTTCTGTACCTGCAGGACATAGTAATTTCACTAATAACTTGTTTGATGTTGAATGATGTGTTTTATTGGGAGCAAAAATGTGTTATTAGTGGAGCTTGGAAAATATATGTGATATTAATATATTCATATATAATATTGAGTTGCTAGAAAAGTCATGACAAATTTTTGTACAGAAAAACATGGAAAAATATGTCATGACTTTCCCAACAATGTAATATGTGTTTATATTATTATTTAATTTGGCATATAGCTTTCAAAGAACTTAGTTCACAATATGATACGGAACATGTTTTTGTTTTTATTATTTTTCAGGTGGCTTTTTCTCAAGTATATTTTCTAGTCTGTTTGGAACTCGGGAAATGAGGATTTTAATTTTGGGATTAGATGGAGCAGGAAAAACTACAATTTTGTACAGATTACAGGTTGGAGAAGTCGTTACTACTATTCCTAGTAAGTGTTGGTGTGATAGACTAATTGTAGGAGTTTTCTGATTTCCATTTAATGTAACTATTTTTGAATAAATAATATAATTAAGTAATTGATAGACTTCAAATATGAACATAATATTGGTAACACCTTTTTCATAAACTGAGAAACAATTTCAGTGTAATTTAAAGACCCTTTTCTATGTGGATTTTGCTGCTAAGAACTGTTCATAACTTGGCATGATTCACAATCTTACTAAGAACCAGTATGTTTAAATGCCCACTGACTTTTTTTCTTTATTTAAAAATTTTTTAGAGGTTTTTGTGTTGGGGCGAGTGCACACACTAGAGAGAGAGAGAAAGGGAAAGTGAGACATCACCCCCCAGGCCAGATGACCACGCCACAATCCCTTCTCCATTCCCCTCCCAGGATTTTAGGCATGCATGCCCATGGGCCCAGCTTGCTTTTGAAGTCATCTGGTCTAGGACTTGAACCATGGTCGGCCATGTAGGCATCCAGTGACATAGCTGCTACATTATCTGCTGGTCCTGCCCACTGGCTTTGAGGAAGAAATAGGTGAAGATATATGAGTATTTTGTAAACCCATGTGAAGAATTATTTAACTGTTAAGTGTTATTATATGAACTGCACTTTCCCCCTGATTTATTACTTATTTAATTATTAATTTGTTAAGATTTATTTTTCTTGGGTCAGCTGGTGAATGGTGTTTCAGGTGTCTGGATCCTGCATGGCTGATTTCACAGTCCGAGTTCCAGACCCGAAAAGCATGGTGTTCATACACAGAATCCCAAGAGAAGAATAAAGAAGGGATTGTGGAGTGGCCATCCCCTGGGGGGTGCTTTCTCACTTTCCCTCTCTCTTCCCAGTGAGCACATGTGCCCTATAGCAAATTAAAAAAAAAAAAAATTAGTTTCTTGCAGTCCCTTCTCAATTTCTCCATCCTTTTGGAAATTTGGGCACACATGCACACATGCCTGGTGTTTTTTTTCTTTTAAGCCATGGGGGTTGGGCCTTAAACCATGTGATCAGCCACATATGATCCAGCTTCCTTAACCACCATGCCACTAGGCTGGCCCTACTCTGACTTTCCCTTTAAGCTTTTAAAATGTTAGTAATCTCGGTGTGTGTGTAAAAAAAAGAGAGAGAGAGAGATCTTCGCTATAGAGCATGTGCACTCGCTGGAGAGACAGAAAGTGAGAACCCCCCCCGGGGGGTATGGTCACTCTGAAATCCCTTCCCTTCCATTCTCCTTTTGGGATCTTAGGCACTCATGCACATGTGCTTGGTGTGAGTTTTAAGCCACTGGGTCTGGGACTCCAACTGCATTCAACCACATGGGAGTCCAGCAACATAACCATTATGGCATCTGCTGGTCCCAATCTTTGTATATTTTACCCTACATTTTTCAGTATTCTTTCCACCATCTTGTAGATTCCTGTCAATGAAAATAAGTCTCTTGTATCAGCTCTGCCAGATCTATACCTAAGAAGGATGACAGAAAAGGGTTGTCATAGCTCCCTTGTAGCCTTCCAGCTACGATCTTTTTTTTAAGATCTTAAGGCTTTTGCCAGGGATGTGTGTTCGCTAGAGAGGAAATAGAGAAAGTGAGCGAGAAAGTGAGAAATCAACCCCAGGGGATGGCCATGCCACAGTCCCTTCTCCATTCTCCTCCTGGCATTTTGGACACACACATGCACATGTGCCTGGCGTGATTTTCAAGCTGCCAGGTCTGGGACTTAAAGAACAGTTGGCCATGTAGGAATCCAGAGGCTTTACCACTATGGCACCTTTTGGCCCCCAGCTAAGGTCTTATTACAAGTGAGTTCTCGAGGATGTCTGCAGGGGGCCCGGGAGATTGGCAACCCTAGAGAACCCAGCTTCCATAAAGCCATAATTAAAACCATTTAAGTCCTCACTGAAGTTTAGAATCTAGTCTTGTTTCTCATTTCTGTTTGCTAACTTCTAAAATTCTAAATTTTATAATAAATCTACAATCAGACTTCATTGTATAAATTAAACTGTCTAAACACTTTTGTATGCCTCTACTTTATTTCGAGATGAGTTTATTAGGATTTTCCACTGAACCAAGATTTGTAGAGCTGTTGGGATTCTTTTATAAACTGAAGATGGTGCTGATCTTGCTAACTGATGATTGAGGGGTGTGTGTGTGTGTGTGTGTGTGTGTGTGTGTGTAGCCAACATTACTATTTTATCTTAAATGGAATAATATCTCCATCAATAATGTGATTCAACACTTACCATTAATTGCTGAAACTCAGTTTAAGTACTTGGAAGGTGGAATGCATTAGTCTACTTACAACTGATTGGATTTCTCTTTCAGCTATTGGATTTAATGTAGAGACAGTGACATATAAAAACCTTAAATTCCAAGTCTGGGATTTAGGAGGACAGACAAGTATCAGGTATGGTACAACAACTGTTTTTTGTTTTTGTTTTGTAGGATAAAATATTTTTTGTTTCTTTTTATGGTTAACAGAGGTAACCCAAAATATATCTTTTGTTATGACTTAAATGGAAGCCACCTAGTTTAAAATGAGGTAAAACTTGAAACTGTTTTCTCAGAGCATCTATTGAATGAAAATCTAAGGAAGCTAGTTTTTACAGGTATCATTTAAAGGAAAATCTTTTCACCAAACTCTTGATCCTAATTTTTTTTTTTTTTTTGAGAGGTTTTTGCTATAGGGCGCGTGCGCTCGTCAGACAGACAGAGAGAGACAAAGAGACAGAAAGCGAGAAATCACCCCCCAGGGGGGATGGTCACGCCGCAATCCCTTCTCCATTCTCCTCTTGGGATCTTGGGCACGCACGCACACGCGCCCGGCGTGAGTTTTAAGCCACCGGGTCTGGGACACGAACCGTGGTCGACTACATGGGAGTCCAGAGACACAGCCATTACGCTAACTGCTGGTCCCCCTACTTTTGTACTTTTTAACTAAAATGGGCCCTCTAGTTCTCGTCAGCTCCTTCCTTTGAGACAGACTGTTTTGGAATGCATTAAAATACTTTGCAGGCCCACCACTTATGTCTAATGTAAACACACACAGATGCCTTCTATAGTGCAGGTCTCCTGCTCAGTGTTCTCTGCTTGACATGGCAACTGTGAATGTTTAGTGATTCAGGAATTGTTCCATATGGTTCTATCTTAAAAGATTAGCAGTGCATTCATCAAACATCCTGCCACATTCTTGTTTTTCTTTTGCTTATTTCTTCCATGAGGTGGGGAGGAGAGAGAGAGAGAGAGAGAGAGAGAGAGAGACAGCATCCTCAGTAGCATCTCGATGCCCTGATCCATCCCCAGTCTCAGCCAGCCCCATGTCATGGGCACGCATGTGCCTTATACTCAGGGAGGTCTCTGGATACTAGCCCAGAGCTTTTCCTCATGGGCCAGGTTTAGAGGGTTGTGTTTTACTGCAGTGCCACCATCTGGCCCTTACTTTCTTTTAACTAATTTTTTAAACATTTTAAAAATTATTTTATTTATTTATTTATTTTAAAGAATGACTTTATTTAACTTTTTTTTATCCATTTATTTATTCATTTACTTACTTAAATTTGACCAGAGAGGGACAGAATGAGAGAGAGAGGGAAAGTGAGAAAGCAAACTGCCAGGTCTGGGACTAGAACCACGGTCAGCCATGTGGGAATCCAGCACCCTAACCACCACACCACTTGCCAGCCCTAACTCATTTTATTTCTTGAATCACTTGAGTTTATTTCTCATTTTAGCCGTTTCTACTTCCTCATATTTTCAGTGATTAATGACAGTTACATAAGGTTACATTAAAATTTTTAAAAAATTCCTTTTAAGAGGGTCCTAAAGATTTGTCAGATATAATGACCAGTCTGTGTACAGCTTTCCTATTAGTACACTTTGTGATTTATAGACTATGATTATAAATATACTCTGCTGTCCATATCTGTGAGTTCCATATCCAAGGTTCTGCATTCATGGATTCAGCAACTGCAGATGGAAAATGTTCTGATGTTGCTGATATGTACTGTGTATTGTAGCTAGGCTACAGTGGTTGCTTTTGTACTGAACATGAGCCTATAGTTTTTCTTTTTTTTTAAGTTTTTGCTAAAGGGTACATGTGCTTGCTGGGGAGGAGGTGAGAGAGAGAGAGAAAGTGAAAAGTCACCCCCTGGTAGGGTGGCCATGCTGCCATCCCCTCCTTCATTCTCTTCTCGGGATTTTGGGCCACACACCAATGTTTTTCAAGCTAACAGGTCCAGGACTTGAACCGCTTAGTTGGATATGTGGGATCCAGCGAATATACAAGCTGGCCCTATGTAGACTTTTTTTTTTTTTTTTTTAAGATGCTTTTTCTAGAGGGTGTGTGCACTTGCCAGAAAGACAGAGATAGATGGAGAGACAGAAAGTGAGAAGTACCATCCCCCCCCAAGGGGGGATGGCCACACTGCAATCCCTTCCCCTCCATTCTCTTCTCAGGATCTTGGGCACGCATGCACACCTGCCCGGCGTGAGTTTAAGGCACTGGGTCTAGGACTCGAACCGCGTTCGACTACGTGGCCGTCCAGCGACATAGCCATTGTGCCAACTGCTGGTCCCAACATTTTTTTCTTGTGATTATTCCCTAAACGATGCAGTGTAACAACTATCTATCTACATAGCTGTTCACATTGCATTACGTATGATAAATAACCTGGAGATGATTTAAAGTATGTGGGAGAGTGTGCATAGGTTATGTGCAGATAATGCTGTTTTATGAGACTTGAGCATCCTTGGGTTTGGCTATCCATGGATGTCTGGACCCAGTCTTCCTTGGAAATTGAGGGGTAGCTGTATATTCTCTCAGCCTAAAGTCTGAACTCATTTTAAAACTCCTTGGTCCTGGGCCGGCAGGTGGCGTGCTGGTTAAGGGGGCTGGACTCCCACATGGCTGACTGTAGTTTGAGTCCCAGATCAGGCAGCTTGCTTTCTCTCTTTCTCTGGTCAAATTTAAAGTAATAAATAAAGTTAAATAAAATAATTATTAAAAAAAAAAACAACCTCCTTGGTTCTGTGATTTAATGTTTATCATCATTCTTTCAACTCCATCACATCTGAGGGTATGATCTATAGATCTGTCAGAAACAGTGAACCATCACCGATGTCACATGGCATTGATTCTAAGAAGGTGGTGTGCAGTGTGATCCTCGCCCCCATCATCACCCTGAGTCCTAACGTGTAAATTGACATGTCAAGTTTCTTGTTCTTTCAAATAATAACATATTCTCCCTTTTCTCTAGGCCATACTGGAGATGTTATTATTCAAACACAGATGCAGTCATTTATGTTGTAGATAGTTGTGACCGAGATCGAATTGGCATTTCCAAATCAGAGTTAGTTGCCATGTTGGAGGTAAGAAAACTAAGTCACTTTAAAATGTGGAGAAATTATTTACATGTTTTCTGTTTCCTTTGTATATTGTCACATGGAGGAATAATTAAAAAGAATGCAGGGATTTTCTTTTGTGCATATTATTTCATATTCTGGAAATACAGCCAGGGAGAGGGTTGGAGACAAAAAACAAATTCAACCTTATAACTGCCTTTAAGTTAGCTTTCGTGATTTCCATGAAGTTCAGAGCTCTCTTAACTGAAGTCTAAGTTACTCCCATGACATAAGTTTTTTTAAAATGTGTTTTTATTCTTTTGGATCATTGGAAAAGTCATAGCACATTTTTGCTTAGAAAATACATCATGACTTTGCAGATGATCCAATAATTTAGAAGCATTTCAGTTCAGAGACAGATGTACTTCTTACAGAATTCTGGCCCGAGCTTTATCATTCTTTTTTTAAAATTTGCTACATGGCATGTGTACTCACTATAGGGCATGTGTACTCTCTGGGGAGGAGGGAGGAGGGGGCTGGCTGTGCCCTAGTTCCTTCTCCATTTTTCTCTCAGTATTTTGGGCACACATGCATCTACTGTGTTTCTCAATCTACCGTGTCTGGAACTTGAACCCAACCAAGCACTTGGCCACGTGGGATCCACCCGCCCCAACACTGTGTAGCCCCAGTGTCATCATTCTTTACCCTTCTCCATGTTCACAGTGCTGTCAGTTCACATTGACCTTCCTAGTCTTTGCACACGTCGAACTCGCCTATCTGGCTTTGGGCCTTTGCACTTGCTGATCCTTCAGCCTGGAGTGCTCTTCCCTAGAACCTTTTTATAACTGTCTTCTTACCTTGTTTATTCTCTCACATCTCTTCCCAGAGAGGAGCCTCAGTGTCTTCTAATACCTTACCCCACTTTATTCTTTTTAAGAAAAGTTTATTTAGTTTTTGGGCTAGCTGGTGGCGTGGTGGTTAAGGTGGCTGAATCCCACATTGTTGACCATGTGGTTCCAGTCCCAGAGCTGGTAGCTTAAAAAACATGCCAAATGCATGTACATGCATGCCCAAAATCCCAAGAGGAGAATGGAGGAGAGAATTGCAGCATGGTCGTCCTCCCCAGCCCCACCTCCTGGGATGATTTCTCACTTTCTCTTTCTCTCCAGCAAGTGCACATGCACTAGAGCAAAAACTTAAATTAAAAAAAAAAAAAAGAAAGAAATATTTCTTCTGTGAATGAGAGAGAGAGGCAGCATATCCAGCAGGGTTTTGACACCACAGTCTGCTTCCATCCTTACTCAGTCGTGGGTCACAGGCACAGATAAACCCAGCCTACTCAGGAGAATCCCCAGACATGAACACGGACCCTACTTACATGGGTCAGCTCTGCAGACTGTCGCTTTTTACCGCTGCACCGCCATCCTGCCCCCTCCATGCTTTATTCTTTATGCCACTGTTGTTTTGATATGTGTGTGTGTGTATACACACACACACACAGACACACAGACACACACATATATATATATTCACCTATCTCTCCCCCTAAAATGTAAATTTCTCAAGTTTACTGTGCTGTCCCTCATACATGGATCAGTAAATGAGGGGACTTCAAAAAGACTGTGGAAAAATGGAATTAAAGTATGAATTTATTTTAGTGCAGAAAAAATGTAAAATCCTTGCATAGATTTATCATAATATACATTTTCCATGAATTCTTTTTATTTTCTTTCAATTGCCAGAGGGCACATGCACTTGCCTGAGAGAGAGCAGGCAGGGAGCAGAGAAGGCACTCCCGTGGAGAACAGTCACACCACAGTCCTTTCTCTTCCGTTTCTTTGTCCTTTTGGGATTTGGGACACAAATATACATGTACCCAGCATGTCTCTCAAGCGTCAGGAGTTGAACTGCACAGTCAGTCATGTGGGGTCCAGCTGCCTTAACCAACAGGCCACGGTGCTGGCTCCAGGATTAGTGTTTTATATCACATCAAGGCCATTTGCAAATCAATAGAAAAAATGAACAAAAGGCCGTTTTGCCAGAGGGTGTATGCACTTGCTGGTGAGAGATGAGGGAGGAGGAGGGGTGAGAAAGCACCCTTTATGGGGGATAGTCACCCCAACTCCCTTCTCATTTTTGCCTCTTTTCAGAATTTTGGACATGCATACCTGGCATGTTTCTGAAGCCACTGGGTCCAGAACGCAAACTACCCATTTAGCCATGTGGATCTGTCTTAACCACCACACTACCAGCTGGTCCAGAGTGTGTTAGTTAGTTCATTTATTTAATAGATTTTTGCCGTAGGGTGTGTGCACACACCAGAAAGTGACAAATAAAGGGAAAATGAGAAATCACCCCTAGGGAGATGGCTCACCACAGTTCCTTTTCCCCCATTCTCCTCTTGGGATTTAGGGCACATATACACATGTGCCTGGTGCGATTTTCTAGCTGCTAGGGCTTGAACCATGATCAGCCATATGGGAGTCCGGCACCTTAACTACTATGCCAATTTCTCGCCCCCAGTGTTTACTTTTTAAAGCAGAGTAGAAAACGATATATAAACGTAGTCTTAGGTGAGTAAATATATTACTAAATAAGCAAAATAGCTGCAGAACAAAGTACTAGTAGAAAATACTCAAAATGTTAAACAGCAATCATGTTTGGGAGGTAGGATTATGGGTAGAACTTTTCTTCTTCACAATTTCAAATAATGTATAGCAGACATTATATATTAATATTTTGCATTTTTTCCTAAACTCCAGCCAGCACAGTGATTAGAGGTAACTAAATATCTTCAACTTTCTATAGGAAGAAGAGCTGAGAAAAGCCATTTTAGTGGTGTTTGCAAATAAGCAGGACATGGAACAGGCCATGACTCCGTCAGAGATGGCAAATTCCCTTGGATTACCTGCCTTGAAAGACCGAAAATGGCAAATATTCAAAACGTCCGCAACCAAAGGCACTGGCCTCGATGAGGCCATGGAATGGCAAGTATCATGTTTCCAGAAGCCACCTGTCATTGTGTGTGCCTGCAGCTGTGCACTGTACGCACACGTGTGGTTTTCCTTTAGTCTGAGGATAACATTCGATTACTTTGAGACTTATTGCATAAGTTCCTCCAGGCTTTCCGCCCACGGGTCTTCATGTGTGTCTGCCTTTATTTCTACTACATTTGCCTGCTTCTTGTTACTTAGATAAGCCAGCGCTCTGCCCCGTTACAGCCCTTTCTTTGCCTTTCCTCACCCTCAACTCCTTATCTTTCGGGAATGAGGCTAAGGCTTCCTTTCTCAGCAGCCTTCCCTGATGTGTGTCCACCCCTGCCTTACCGCACGCAAGCTAAATGCTTTTGTCTCAGATCAGTGACATAGTACTCCTTACACTAATCGTTGGATTTGTGTATCCGCTCATTAGCTAATTAACTCCTTGAGGACGGAGGTAAGTTTTCACCTGGGAATCAGCCATGTATAGCCTAGAAGTAGAAGCAGCCTGGAAAAGGTTGTTTTTTGTTTGTTTGTTTTTTTACTGTGCAAAGTGTACACAAAGTCAAAGTGGAAAGACTCATGGAAACCGAGGCCATCACATCATTCTTTTATCTGTGTTAGCCTTTATTGTTCTACGTGGTCTGGATTTCACCTCCAGTATAAGACTTACAGTATAAATGACCTGCTTTGTGTCTGAAAGTTACTTGTATGAAACTGTTCGCTTTCCCTTCACAGGTTAGTTGAAACATTGAAAAGCAGACAGTGATTCAGTCAGTTCCGCTCATCTGAAATGAAGGCTGCATTACATGCCCCTTTGGAAACAGTCCTGTGTACTTCACACTTCCAAATGTTAAAGTCGTCTCGTGTATACTGAACTGACCGCAGCGTTTGTAATAAATACGAAAAATAAGTATGTGGTTGGAGGAGTAACTCAGTTGAATCATATGAATGTTCTATATAATGTATAATATTCCTTCCTCACCTGTGTTAAGGTATATATTCTATTTGTATGGAATTCTTATTCAAATATAATCCTATTAAAGAATGCACTCTTGTTGCAGGGGAAAACCCCTCCTATTTTTGAATTAGTGGTTGCAGCTTGTTTGTATAAACACTAACAAATATATTAATTCATATTTTTCTTTTTCTCTTAAGATAAATTAAGTCTTTCCAAAGATTAGACTCAGTAGAGTGGGCTGGGAACATAGCGTGTGTAATATAGTCTTCATTTGCTTAACTGACCACTTTATAATAAGCTGCTTTGTTTAAAACCTTTTAGTTATAGGCATGAATATTATTTTGGTAGTTAACTTCACTGGCTAACCTGTAATCGTCATTCTATGGTACCTTATATTTGTCAAAAAATATTTAATGTGTATTGACCTTGCCGATCTGTGCAGGAACTCTGTGAGGTAGGTAGGATGGGTTATAATGTCTTCTCTTTATGGATGTGGACCCAAGGTTCTAATGGTTTGACTTACCCAAGGTTGCTTACTAATGAGAGAAGAAGAGGGATAAAAGTGAGGCTTTCGGAGACAGCTGGTGGTTTGGTAGTTAAGGCTGCTAGATCCCACACAACCAGCTACACAATTCAAGTCCTGGATCTGGCAGCTCGAGAATGGAGAAGGGATTGTGGTGTGGCCACCCCTTCTGAGAGATGCTGTCTCGTTTTCCCTTTTTCTCTCTCTGTCTCTGGTAAGTGCATGTACCCTATAGCAAATTAAAAAAAAAAAAAAGACTTTTGGGTAAGAAGTTCTTCCCATAAACTATGCTGTATATTCCTAAAAATGCCAACATTCACAACAGTTGAACTTAAATAAAATTGTGTTAATTACTCACAGTACATTCAAAATAATGTCTATATACTTGTTTATAATAGTAGAAATGATCAATGACATAGTAAAAATAATTCTAAATGGTTATATTTGATGGAATTCATAACATTAAAGAAAATATTCACATTAAAATAAAAAAGATCTATTTTAAGAAGCACCCTAGGGAGATGGCTCACCACAGTTCCTTTTCCCCCATTCTCCTCTTGGGATTTAGGGCACATATACACATGTGCCTGGTGCGATTTTCTAGCTGCTAGGGCTTGAAACATGATCAGCCATATGGGAGTCCGGCACCTTAACTACTATGCCAATTTCTCGCCCCCAGTGTTTACTTTTTAAAGCAGAGTAGAAAACGATATATAAACGTAGTCTTAGGTGAGTAAATATATTACTAAATAAGCAAAATAGCTGCAGAACAAAGTACTAGTAGAAAATACTCAAAATGTTAAACAGCAATCATGTTTGGGAGGTAGGATTATGGGTAGAACTTTTCTTCTTCACAATTTCAAATAATGTATAGCAGACATTATATATTAATATTTTGCATTTTTTCCTAAACTCCAGCCAGCACAGTGATTAGAGGTAACTAAATATCTTCAACTTTCTATAGGAAGAAGAGCTGAGAAAAGCCATTTTAGTGGTGTTTGCAAATAAGCAGGACATGGAACAGGCCATGACTCCGTCAGAGATGGCAAATTCCCTTGGATTACCTGCCTTGAAAGACCGAAAATGGCAAATATTCAAAACGTCCGCAACCAAAGGCACTGGCCTCGATGAGGCCATGGAATGGCAAGTATCATGTTTCCAGAAGCCACCTGTCATTGTGTGTGCCCGCAGCTGTGCACTGTACGCACACGTGTGGTTTTCCTTTAGTCTGAGGATAACATTCGATTACTTTGAGACTTATTGCATAAGTTCCTCCAGGCTTTCCGCCCACGGGTCTTCATGTGTGTCTGCCTTTATTTCTACTACATTTGCCTGCTTCTTGTTACTTAGATAAGCCAGCGCTCTGCCCCGTTACAGCCCTTTCTTTGCCTTTCCTCACCCTCAACTCCTTATCTTTCGGGAATGAGGCTAAGGCTTCCTTTCTCAGCAGCCTTCCCTGATGTGTGTCCACCCCTGCCTTACCGCACGCAAGCTAAATGCTTTTGTCTCAGATCAGTGACATAGTACTCCTTACACTAATCGTTGGATTTGTGTATCCGCTCATTAGCTAATTAACTCCTTGAGGACGGAGGTAAGTTTTCACCTGGGAATCAGCCATGTATAGCCTAGAAGTAGAAGCAGCCTGGAAAAGGTTGTTTTTTGTTTGTTTGTTTTTTTACTGTGCAAAGTGTACACAAAGTCAAAGTGGAAAGACTCATGGAAACCGAGGCCATCACATCATTCTTTTATCTGTGTTAGCCTTTATTGTTCTACGTGGTCTGGATTTCACCTCCAGTATAAGACTTACAGTATAAATGACCTGCTTTGTGTCTGAAAGTTACTTGTATGAAACTGTTCGCTTTCCCTTCACAGGTTAGTTGAAACATTGAAAAGCAGACAGTGATTCAGTCAGTTCCGCTCATCTGAAATGAAGGCTGCATTACATGCCCCTTTGGAAACAGTCCTGTGTACTTCACACTTCCAAATGTTAAAGTCGTCTCGTGTATACTGAACTGACCGCAGCGTTTGTAATAAATACGAAAAATAAGTATGTGGTTGGAGGAGTAACTCAGTTGAATCATATGAATGTTCTATATAATGTATAATATTCCTTCCTCACCTGTGTTAAGGTATATATTCTATTTGTATGGAATTCTTATTCAAATATAATCCTATTAAAGAATGCACTCTTGTTGCAGGGGAAAACCCCTCCTATTTTTGAATTAGTGGTTGCAGCTTGTTTGTATAAACACTAACAAATATATTAATTCATATTTTTCTTTTTCTCTTAAGATAAATTAAGTCTTTCCAAAGATTAGACTCAGTAGAGTGGGCTGGGAACATAGCGTGTGTAATATAGTCTTCATTTGCTTAACTGACCACTTTATAATAAGCTGCTTTGTTTAAAACCTTTTAGTTATAGGCATGAATATTATTTTGGTAGTTAACTTCACTGGCTAACCTGTAATCGTCATTCTATGGTACCTTATATTTGTCAAAAAATATTTAATGTGTATTGACCTTGCCGATCTGTGCAGGAACTCTGTGAGGTAGGTAGGATGGGTTATAATGTCTTCTCTTTATGGATGTGGACCCAAGGTTCTAATGGTTTGACTTACCCAAGGTTGCTTACTAATGAGAGAAGAAGAGGGATAAAAGTGAGGCTTTCGGAGACAGCTGGTGGTTTGGTAGTTAAGGCTGCTAGATCCCACACAACCAGCTACACAATTCAAGTCCTGGATCTGGCAGCTCGAGAATGGAGAAGGGATTGTGGTGTGGCCACCCCTTCTGAGAGATGCTGTCTCGTTTTCCCTTTTTCTCTCTCTGTCTCTGGTAAGTGCATGTACCCTATAGCAAATTAAAAAAAAAAAAAAGACTTTTGGGTAAGAAGTTCTTCCCATAAACTATGCTGTATATTCCTAAAAATGCCAACATTCACAACAGTTGAACTTAAATAAAATTGTGTTAATTACTCACAGTACATTCAAAATAATGTCTATATACTTGTTTATAATAGTAGAAATGATCAATGACATAGTAAAAATAATTCTAAATGGTTATATTTGATGGAATTCATAACATTAAAGAAAATATTCACATTAAAATAAAAAAGATCTATTTTAAGAAGCATTATAAATGATGTCTTTACTGTCTTACATTCTTTTTATCTACCTATAGTTGGACATGTAAATTTGATTGATTAAAAGCCAAAATCTTGGCTCTATAGGAAGAAAGGAAGCATTTTTGGTTTTAAAAATTAAGCTTACTGCTAAGCTATAAATTAAAAAAACAGTTCATATTCAAAGGAAGTTTTCAAATTACCCAGGCCTCCCCAGAATCAGCTAGTGTGACAGAAGTAAATACAACCTTAGTGAAAGTGAGAAGACCTTTTTCATTTAGGTCGGACAACTAGCATTTACAAACATATTTTTTCTCTTTATTCTTTTTTTTTTTTTTTTTGAGAGGTTTTTGCTATAGGGCGCATGCGCTCCCAGACAGAGACATAGAGACAGAAAGCGAGAAATCACCCCCCAGGGGGGATGGTCATGCTGCAATCCCTTCTCAGTTCTCCTCTTGGGATCTTGGGCACGCACGCACACGCGCCCAGCGTGAATTTTAAGCCACCGGGTCCATTTTAAGCCACCGGGTCCGGGACACGAACCGCGGTCGAACCGTGGGAGTCCAGCGACATAGCCATTACGCTAACTGCTGGTCCTCCCCCCCCCTTTTTTTTTGAGAGGCTTTTTGCTGTAGGGCATGTACACTCTCCAGAAAGACAGAGACAGAGAGATAGAAAGCAAGAAATTACCTCCCAAGGGGGATGGCCATGCCGCAATCCATTCTCAGGATCTTGGGCACACATGCACACGCGCACGGCATGAGTTTAAGCCACCAGGTCAGGGACTCGAACCACGGTTTGCTACATGGGAGTTCAGCGACATAGCCATTAGGCTGACTGCTGCTCCCACTGATGGGCATTCTTTCAGCTCAAGTGAATGCAGCTTTCTCTTTTCACCTTTGGGACTCTTCTTCATCCCCAGCACCCCTTGTTTTGTAAAGATTTTTGCTTTAGGGTGTGTGCGCTCGCCAGAGACAAGAGACAGAAAGTGAGAAATCAATCACTCCCCAGGGAAGATGACCACAGCGCAGTCCCTTCTGTTCTTGTGATCTTGGGCACACACGTACCTAGTGTGAGTTTTAAGCCGCTGGGCCCGACTCAGACTGCGGTCAACTATGTGGGAGTCGAGTGACATAACCATTACACCATCTGCTGGTGCCCGACAGAAAGCAAGAAGTCTCAGGGATCAGCAGTTAGCATAATGACTATGTCGCTGGACTCCCATGTAGTTGACCGCAGTTCGTATCCCGGACCCGGTGGCTTAAAACCCACGTCGGGCACATGTGTGTCTGAATGCCCAAGATCCCGAGAGGAGAATGGAGGAGAAGGGATTGTGACATGGCCTGGGGGGTGATTTCTCGCTTTTTGTCTCTCTGTCTGGCGAGTGCACACGCCCTATAACCAAAAAAAAAAAAATGCAAGAAGTCTCCTCAGGGGTGATGGCCATGTCACAATCACTTCTCCATTCTTCTCTCAGGATCTTGGGCATGCATGCACATGTACCCAGTGTAAGTTTTTTAAGCTTAAACTGCCGTGTCTAGGACT